TTTTGTATAATTTCATATATCAACAAACTGTAGTTAGACATGAAACGAATCACACAACCTTTTTTCCAATTTCTCATACTATGTGTGTGTGTGTTTATTGATATTATAGGAAAGATCTGTTCGATTGATGATCAGAAGTTCTTTAAATATTTGGTTTTTATTATATTCGGATCAACACAACAATAACACTTTCATTACATCATTATACAAAAAACCCACCAGCAAAAACTCGTGCCACCTTAATTTCAAAAGCGAATGCTCATTTAGGTACAAAATAGCAGTAATAAAAAACTTCCTAAATAGAGCACACCAGAACTCATCCTCTCGACTACTCTTTCTCAAAGAACTTAACAACTTTAAACAAACACTAATCAACAACGGTTTCCCTAACCACCTTATAGACCAACAAATTAGACTATTTCTCCCCAAAGCAAGTAATAACGATAGCGAACACACAGCTAAAAATCACATACACATTTATTACAAAAACCAAATGCATATTAATTACAAACAAGATGAATCTTCTCTAAGACATATTATAAAAAAATATACTACTCCTATTGATCCGAATAAAAAATCAAACTTATTATCTATTATAAAAAATTAAGACGGCTAACCTTATCCTCAAAAATAACAACACACCAACTAAGTCAAAATTACAAAGAACAAACATTGTCTATGAGTTCAATGTTCCTTTAAGGAACTGCGTTTCCTCACCAAACCGGACTCATAAATAATTACATTGGCTACACAACCACATGTTTATCCAGACGTCTTACGTTACACCTATCTGATCACAGCTCCATCAGAACACATTTAAAACACACACTCAGATTTACCAGACACTATTAGGAATATACTAGTAAAAACACAAATATATTAACAAATGCAAAAAAAAAGACTAAAAATAATGGAAGCTCTAATAATAAAAAAGAAAAAAATCAACTCATTAACAATATTAACTATGAACAAAGCCATAATGTGCTAACCGTATTCGGAAATTAAAAACATCATTACCACACACTGAACATACACAGAATGCACACACTCAATTAAGCTGATAATCGAATCATTCTTGATAATGGCTAAAGGTTTAGCTGAAAGCGCTCGAAAATATAGAACATTTGGACAGTTCTTACACACCCTTTGTCCAGAAAAAGAAAGCTCTTGTCAGAACACAAGAAAAATTAAATAAAAAGTTCAACCGTAGTACCTTGTCTGTCGTTTTTAATGAAACATGCATATATATATATATATATATATATATATATATATATATATATATATATATATATATATGCATAATGGAACCATTAAAAAATAATTAATTTTTCTTCATGTTCAATGAGACGTGTTTCGATATGAGACATTCTGTTTGTGTGTTGGCAATCGAATTTTCTTTCTAGAATTGTCAAAACCTCAAGGGTCTCCAATAATCAGAGGTTTTAGTGACCTTATGTGCTGCCGGATTTTGGCGTGTTCCTGTCAGCATGCGTGTATATATGCGTGCGTAAGTGTCCGTAATCGCACACATACACACTATCCCACCACAAGGGACAATGAAAAAAGGTTATGGAAAATTCCTATTAGAAACAAAAGAAACGTAACGTCCTTAGCATATGTCTCAACGTACAACAAAACAACAAAAAAAAATCAAAAAAAAAAAAAAATATACAAAAACAACCAAAAAAGAGCAAACGCCAATCTAGAAACCTAAAACACAATCTAAATTTAGTCAACACAAAATACAGGAGTCACAAAATGGAAAAATTAAAACCCAAAAAACATTCTTAAACAAAAACTTAAACTGTCATATTTAACACTTAAATATATATATATATATATATATATATATATATATATAAAAAAATATAAATTCAAACCCGAACTTAAGATGTGACTATATTTATGGGATAAACACGAGGAGAGATATATATATGCAATTGGGAAATATGTGTGTGTATGTGTGTGTATGACTACTTGTGGTGGGATAGTGAGACAAATAAGTTTACGAATTCCTCGTAGTAAGGAAATATACGCACGCATATATACACGCATGCTGACAGGAACACGCCAAAATAGAAACAGATCCAAGAGCACATAGAGGTCACTAAAACATTAAAAGATTAAATGCAATAACATCTGACAAACCTTAATTGTTTTACGATTGCATCTTCATTGCAATTCTAAACAGACTGAATGTCGAGAATATTCCACATTGAACATGAAGAAAAATTAATTATTTTTAATAATATGTCTCTCCACTTTCACCTGAAGACGGTTTGTGAGACCAGACCAGAAACACGTGTCGTGAAATTATGTAAAACAAAGTTTTTTTTTCTCATATATATATATATATATATATATATATATATATATATATGTTCCTCATAAAACCCCAATCTTCCACAGAGAGACTGTTTCTGAAAAATATTTGTTCATCACCAAAAAACAAAACAAAACAAAAAAAAAAAAACACACAAAAAAAAAAAAAAAAAACCAAAAACAAAAAACAAAAAAAAAATCAAAGTGCGCTGGAAAAATTAATTAAATCTTACTTGTCTGTCATATTTAACGAAATCCAATTGCTATATTTATGGGATAAAGTGCACTGAAGCCAGAATCAAAACCCGACTGATTTGGCTCATCATTTGAAGAATTTATCCAAACTGATTTGCCATCGGCTTTCGGCAGAGAGGAAGGTGATTTTTTCTATATTTATTTTGAATAAATACGCCAGTGACTCAGAGTGCTCTATTCATAGAAGAGCTTCACATCAGCAGTAGTAGTCACAGTTTACCAATTCACGCTTTCTCTCTAGAGTGCTCGACCGAAATTTATTTTCGGGGCGGGGGTAAATAACTCACACACATATATATATATATATATATATATATATATATATATATATATATATATATTTTTGAGCGCTATTATAGTGGATACTTTGTATTTGAGATAGACGTCACATTTTTATCTATTTTGCGGTAAATCCACAAATGCTTTTACCTTTGTTTTTTTTCCTGGCTTTCTTTCTTTTCAGCTTTTTACGTTTCTTCTTCGACCCTTTAATTTTAATACCTGTGTTTTGGTTTTTGATTCGTAATTTATTTCGTTCCTGTTTTTGTGTTTTCGAGGACACTTTACCACTGGGCTGTTTCGATTGCATTTTATCACTGCAGCACGTGTTCGTAAGCTTTCGACTGACGTGAGGCACCTTTGGTGTGTTCCCAGAGATAAATTCTTCCCGGATTCTGTTGTGTCTTGTGCTGACTTGAGAATCTTCATATCCCATTTTGTTGCCTGAAGAGAAGAAAATAAAAAGAACAGTTGACGTGTGTCTGAACATTAATCAGTAATTCTGGCTAATTCAGTTTAATTAATTAGTTAAGTTCAGCTTTATTAAGAAAAGAAATTTGATATTAAAACATATTCATAAACAAGTTTAATTAAAGAATACTATATGCCTTCAAAAGTTAGGCGGTCATGAGCCTCCTTCAGCTTTTTTCTTTATAATCTGTGAGTTACCATGACATTTTAGAAAATACTAGCAGTAGAGCCCGGCGTTGCCCGGGGATGTAACAGTAAGAGATAGATCAAATATCGACCATCATAAAGACTGAAAAATAAAATTGACAAACATTATTGTTTAAGGTTGACGGACACGCATATCTTAATTATTTTTTATTTTTATTTTTTTTTTTTTACGAATTGGTCAAACCCAAACTCCAACAAAAACATTGTTTTCAATCGTTATGAGTCTATCAATTGAATAGAATTTTATTATAATCTTGTAAATGGAATTTTTAAAGCATTCTGAATGTAAAAATAAAGAAAAAAGTGTGCAAGACAATAAGAAACACTACATACCAAAAAAAGTGAAGTTTTGTTGAAATCGGTTGAAAAATGTAGGAAATCCGATCCCATATATAAATGAACACACACACACACACGGTTTTATAATAAGTATAACTCGATATGAATTGTCCCCCTTTCATTCTCGTGATGCCTCTTAATCGTGTTTTCAAACTGATTTTGTGCAAAAACAATTGTGTTTTTCCAAATTTTTGGCGCTGTCAGAACCACCCAAGGTAATTTTACGTAGTCCTGTGAAGTTTTGTTGAAATCGGTTGAAAAATGTAGGAAATCCGATCCAATATATAAACGTACACACACACACACACACACACACACACACACACACACACACACACACACAACCTGGGTTTTATAATAAGTAAGATATTGAAATGTTTTCCCGTAGCCTTTTCCGCATTTTTTTTTAATTCACAGCAGTCTTTCTTGTATGCTGGCTGCAAATCAAGGTTAGAGAACGCAGTCAACACTGCTATTTCACTTACAGCTGAGTTAAAGGAACAAAAAATAGATTCATGCTTTTTCCAAAGGCATTAATGCGACAATTATTATGTTTTGTTATTTTTTATTTTTTTTTAATGGCTTATCAATCCTTTGTAAAGCCAGAACATATTTTGGATTGTAAGAAAATTTTTTTTTTTTTAAATTTTATTTTGCATGAATAAATTTTTGATTAAAGATTGTGAGAATGGCCCAGTGGATAAAGCGTTGGTTGGAACCAGTGGCTTTACCCAAACTGTTGTGAGTTCAATACCTGGCTCCGATAATGGTAAACAATAATTATAACTAGTAATATTTTTTTTTAAAAATTGTAGCTGGTAATAATTTTTCCTTCAAAAATTCGTTGCTAATAATAATTTTTTACAAAAATGTATTGTTGAGTTAAAAAGAAGATAACAGAGACATCTGGAAGAGGCATGGCACGTGAAACTAGAACAATTTTTTTCGAAAAAATGTGTAGCTGATAATAATGTTTTCTTCAAAAATTCGTTGCTAGTAATAATTTTTTTACAAAAAAGTATTGTTGGTACTAAAACCTATTCTTACACTTTCATAGTGTTTTGACCTCATTTTGGGGGTTATCTATTTGCCCACAGCTGGGATCTTAACAGGTGCTACCATCC